CAGCCCTTCTCTCTCCCATGATTGTTCTCTCCAAGGAGTGTATCTACCTAATGTAAATGCTCGGCTCACAGGCCTGTCTCTTGCTTGTCTGGAAGTCACAGGAGTGGGTTCAATTCTAGACGTGAAGGGCAGCTAAACCATAGTCTCAGTGGTTCCACCAGGCTCTTTCAGACCAGCAAACCTGCTTGTCTTCTTCTTCTTTTTTTTTTTTTTTTTAATGATTTTGAGTTTTGTTCCACATTGTTCGCCCACTCTATCCAGGATCTCCTACATAGATCCCCCTCTGAGTGGTTGACAGTGGTAGCCAGGCACCATCTAGTTCTTCTGGTCTCATAGTCATAAAGGCTAAGGATCACACGGTGTCCCAGTTGCTTGGACTAATTGTTTCCATGAATCTTTGGTTTTCTTCATTCTTCTTTGCTCTGGACAAGGAGAGACCCATTGTTGCATCCAAATGGCCATTTGCAAGCTTTTTATTTTTTCCACTTGCAAGCTTTTAAGATCCCAGTCGCTGCTTGCCAAGGTGACAAATCTTTATGGAAGTAAATTGCCCAGTTTTTCTTCCACAGAGTGGCTGGTGGGTTTGAACCACCAACCTTCTGGTTGGCAGTCAAATGCCTTAGGCACTATTTACAGCCTTGGAAAGTCAATGGGGGTCACTGAGTCAGAATCCACTCAATGGTAGTGAGTTTGGTTAGGAGTTTGGTGTGTGTGTGTGATTTACTTATTTATTTTTGGCCTGTGTTTTCCACCCAATCCATCTTGGAGATCTGACCTTGGAAGAATCAATTTTTCCTGTTCAGTTTCACTTCTGACAGCCAGGTACTTGGCTTGGTGTCAGTCTTACTGTCACAAATTATGCTGATTGCTGACCATGGGGTGAGAATTTCCCTGGAACGTGTCCTGCCTGGCCCTGAGTGGTCTATGCAGGTGCTGGCAGGGTTTGATGGGATCTCCTACCTTAAGCCTTTGGGGCCCGACTTTGCCACTTCTCAGTGGTCAGTGATGTGGTGTCAGTTTTAGTTTGTCTTTCCGTGATTCCCAGTGAGGCAAGCACTCATGTATATTGCCTGAGCTGTCACTGGAGGATGTCCTGGGAGATGACTGTGGGTGTTGGGCAACAGCTTGGGAGCCTGGCAGTGGGAGCCACAGCAGGCGTTTGAGCAGTGATGGACACAAGGGGGTGACAGGGTAGGAACTGAACTGGGATCCAGCCGAGAGGCAGGACACAGAAGATCCTGAAGACTCAGGGTTATCTGTAGACCAAGAACCAGGTCCCCCTGGGTCCACTGACCCTTGACTCCACTTGGCCCTGGACCCAACTTTTGCTGGGTGTCACTGGCCCAAACTGAGTCTGTACTTTGTATGGTCTTAGGCAGCCTTCCCCCCTTGGTCATTCCTAATCACTCCCATCCTCCCTGGCAACACCCACATCCCCACTGTGGTTATGATGATCCTTCTCACTGGGTTAAACACTACGTCTTCTGGTGGACTGCCATTTGCCTCATGACCCTATCCACTGCCCACATCACCTTTGCCTCCTGGCTTTGCTCTGCTCAGCATCCGTGGACATCAGCTCTGAAAACTTCTCAGGGAGCGAGTGCCTCGAGAGGACTCAGGCTGCCGTGGGTGAGGTCCCGAGTGGGGTCTAGGCGGCCCCAGGGTGCTGGAGCTGGAGCAGGTAGGATTCCCAAGGGGCCAGAGTGAGAGGTGGGGGGTCGGGAGGCCCCTGAAGTGTGAGGTCACTAGAAAGATGGTGCTGATGTCACCAGCAGGTGGGGAAGTGGGATAGTGGTGCAGGGGGACGGGTTTGAGGGGAACTTCAAGAGCTTTGGTCACAAGCAGGGAGACGTGGAGGGGAAGGAATAACACCGGGCTTTACTGATACCTGAACCCCTGAAGTTGATGAGCTGTGACAGAAGGAATGAGGGCAGGGAGGGGAAGGTGGGAGGAGGGATCCCCCAGGGGGAGTGGCCAGGGAGTCGGGAGAAGACCTGGGCAGGTGGGGACACCATGAGGGGTGCCCTGGGGCCTCGACCAGCCATCTATCTGCCTGGCCTCTCGGTCTGCTCCCCACCAGCCATACCCCTTTTCCAGCTTCCACTGAACCCATGCAGCGAATTGTGTTAGTTTTCTTTTTCTAACAGCCCTTTTTCCTTAACCTGTTTGGAAGTTACACATTCTATTTTGACTCTTGTGATGCAGGCTTCTCAACCCCAACACCATGGACATTTAGTTCCAAATAGTTCTCTGGGGTGGGGGCCACCATATGCACCGTGAGGTGTTGAACAGCATCCCTGGCCTCTATTCACAAGATGCCAACAGCACCCCCTAGTGATATAACCAAGAATGTTCCCAGACGCGGCCCATGTCCCCTGAGGACAGAATCAAACCCCAAACCCACTGTCACTGTCACAATGGTAACCATCAAAGCACTAAGTAACACAAATTATTACATACCCCCCCAAACCATCTGAGGACCCTGACCAGGCCCTCTTGGCTTCCGTTTGGGGAGTCCTAGGCATGGTCCTGGGTACCTGGGGGATAGCACAGGACCCACTCAGTTGGGGCAATGCCCCATTGACCTCTGATTCTTCAGCCCTAGGTCTGGCTGTTCTCTTTGCTAGGAGCTGGTCCAATCCTCCTTGTCCTACAATTTTCCAGACTGCTGGCAGGTGAGGCTCTTGTTGCTGGCTGGGCTCCTTCAGTCTGAAGCATGGAAGCTTCCCTTGCTGTTGTGCCTCCCACTTCCTCAGACTTCTCCTTCCGGAACTTTCATTGTTCAGGACACTCCTCACCTGATTTTCTTTCTCCCCCTTGTTTCCCAAATTTTTATCTTGTTTTTCTTCTGCAAGATCGCCACAACTTTATCTTCCATCTGCTCTTAATTTCCAAGCGCTCAAAAAAAGAAACATTCTTCTCATTTAGTGGCATTCTGTTCTTGTTCCATGGCTGCAATCTCTTCAAAAAACATCCTGCATTGTTTTCTAAGATTTCTTTATTCTGTAGCATCAGTTTCCCCAAGCTGCCTTTTTCTGTTTTGGTCTCTGTTTCCTTCAGACCCTTGGTGACCTCTGGTTGTCGGCCCTAAGAATGGGTACTGAGATGACCTGTTGGCAGACTTGAGTAGGGGGATGTGTCATTAAACTGGTAGCTGGTGGGGAACTCCGAGGCACCTGCATCTTCAGGTCTATGTGGGCTAGCTGGATTTCCCCGAAGTTTCCCATCTTCTGCCTGCAAACCAAATGATGGGTGTATGGTTGTGTGTGGGGGTGTGTGTGTGTGTGTACTGGGGCTCCCTCTGTTCAGCCTTCCGTAAGCATAGTCCCCTCCTGAACTTGGCTTTCCAGAGGGGGTCCTTGGGTCTCATCTGCCCTCAGGGGCCAGGGGGCCTTCAAAGTCAGTGCCTCCAGAAGGCTTTGTGAGGAGAATGGCTGTTTCCTGGGCTGGGAACTGCATGCACATCTGGTGGCCAATTTCAGTTGTTCCCGATTCCTCACTTCCAGCCTGTTCTGTTGCCCTTTCTTCCTTGACCTTGTGAGTGTGTATATTTTTCTGTACTTTTAAGGGGCTCTGGTAGCATAGTAGGAGTTCTGGTGGTGTAGTGCCTAAGGCACTTGACTGCTAACCAGAAGGCTGGCGGTTCAAACCCACCAGCCACTCCTCGGAAGGAAGATGAATCAATCTACTTCCATAGTGATACCGCCTTGGAAACCCAAGGAGAGGTCACTATGAGTCAGGTCTGACTCCACAACAGTGATTTTGGTTTTTGGTTTTGGTAGCATAGTGGTTAAAAGTATTCAGCTTCTGATCAAAAGTGCTCCAAGGGAGAAGGATGAGGCAGTCTGCTTCTGTGAAGGTTTACAGCTTTGGAAACCCAATGAGACAGGTCTAGTCTGTCCTATAGGGTTGCTATGAGTCAGGATCAACTCTGTGGCAGTGGGTTTGGTTTCTGTACTTTTACTGGGTTTTGGAAAGGGCGAGGCCTAGATGCCTGTGGGCTGTTCATCTGGACCCAGCTGGCCCCTCGTGTTCTGAGTTGCCTCCACTGCAGCGTTACAATGGTGGCATGCCAGCTCGGGTTTCTGCGTTCTACAGGTCGTGCCACTTGTCTGGGTGGCACACTGCTGTCTTTGTGGTCTTAGCTCCATCTCAAGGCCCCGATGTGGACGGCTAGGAATGGTGAGGAGGTTCCTCCCCGACAGTGTGCATACCTGAAGTAGGAGAAGGTGACAGGTCATGATTATGCAGTTGGTTCCCACCGGAGTGTCCTGGTGAAGTGCGAGGCCCAGGGTGGGGCTGGGCCTGTGGAGCTGTGGCGTCATAGGGCGTGCAGGTGGCTTGCTGTTTCACTCAAGCCCACACTGCCCATGTCTTGTAACAGATGGGTGTGCTTACACAGTGCTCCCACCACCCAGTGCAGTGACCCTCCCCCGCCCCCCAGCCCCGACAGCCTGTGGTGACCTTGACATGAACATGGGCTCATGGCGAGCTACCATGCCCTCCATGGGCTGTCCCTCTTCCTCCCTCTCACCCTCCCTGACCTTGGCCCTCTTCTCTGTAAGGTCCTTATTCGCTCTGTCCTCCCGCCTGCCTCACTACTGCTCCCGTTCCTCTGCCCCACTCCAGTGCGTCTTCCCTCCCGCCTCTCATGTTTCCTCCTCCCATCCTTCCACCTGTCCTTGGTTCCCCACCATCCCCACACTTCACCCCACCCCCACCCCCAAGTGGCCCAAGCAACATGGAGACATAAGAAGTCACCTCCCAAACCACTCAGATCCACTCAGACCCACTCAGACCCCATTCTTAGGAAGCAGCCTGCTCCTTTATTTGCTCAGACCCCACCCTGCTGTCCTGAGGGGACATGTGCTTGCCCTGTGGGGATGTGTGCTCAGAGAACAGAGGCTGTGGGTTGGGGAGAGGGCTGAGCAGACCCTGGCGGCTCAGGCACTATGGTGCGGGATGTGTGGTGGCGGGACCTTGGAGCTCATGTGTGGTGGCTAGGAGCCCCCCAGGTGCTGGTGGAAGTAGATGCCAAACAGGCTAGAGAGCAGCTGGCAGGCGGCCGTCCACCAGACAAGGAAGGAGAGGACGCCACGGCAGAACAGGGGTGTGAGCAGGCCCCCAAGAACCCCTGCGATCTGGGCTGCTGTCTCCTGGGCTGAGTCCCTCTCGGGGCCAACAGGGGCATCCACTGAAGATGGGGCAGGGGGCAGCGGGGGGGCCAGACCCAGCCCCCAGGAGTAGCCACCTGCAAAAGGAGGAAGTGGGGAAATTCAGGAGGGGCTGGACCCCCAGGACCCACCCTGGACTGGCCTCCCAACGCCCTTCACCCAGCAATGGCTTCCCAGACACCCCCCTGCAGCTCACCCAGTGACTTCAGCAGTAATGTGCAATTGAGGGTGAGGATGAGGGGTGTCAGGTACTGTAGACAGACCACTGTCACATAGCAGTACACTCGGACCACCTGGGGACAGCAAGGCAGGGGCTCAGGGCAGCACTGTGCCCAGGATCAGGGGAAACCTCCTCCAGCCAGTGCTATACCCACCACTGGATCTGCCAGGCCTCATTGCTGCCCACCTCAAATCCCCTCCCCACCAGCCTCAGGTTCCTCCCAGCCATGTCGTACCCGCCGCTGGATCTCACGGGCCTCAATGCGGCCAGCCTCACGCCGCAGCTGCTCCACACGCACCTTGGCAAGGCCCAGGTAGGCCTGCAGGTGTGGCCGTGTCACTGCCAGCCGCAGCAGGCACAGCACCACCAGCACCCAGAGCCGAGCTGAGTCAAAGGCCGAGTCCGACAGCCTGTGTGGGGAGGGTGGGGTGGGGCTGGCGAGGGCGGACGCCCAGGACCCCCAGCCCCTCCCTGAGCCTCAGAGACTGCCTCTCCCCACCCCACCTTCCTACACGCACAAGGAGACGGACGTTCCCCCGAGGGGCGCCTGCTGCAGGAAGTCCCGAGCTATGGGCCTGATCCAGAGCCACAGCACGAACAGAGGTGACAGGAAGCTGGCATGCAGGAGGAGCCTGTGGGAGTGGGCAGGTTAGGTATGGGCAGGTGAAGGCCCAGACTCCCACCGCTACCCCCATGCCCCCATTACACACCCCCCGCCCACGTTACTGTAGCCCAGGCCGGTTCTCCGCCATTATCAGTGCATCGCGGTGGGTCTGGGCGAGCCGCAGGCCTGGGAAGGTGAGGAAGGCACCCAGCACAGAGCCCACAACTGCAAGCCCCACGCGGACAGTCAGCTTGACCAGAGGGAGCCTGGGGGGAAGGGTAGGGTCAGAGGGCTGCACAGTCACCAGTGCCCTCTCCTCCACAAGTCTAGCAGGACCCTGCGAGGCTCCCAACCACCCACCCTACCCGTCCCCCAGACTCACGCCCAGTCCCAGTCCTGCTTCTTGAGAAGTGGCTCCAAATTCTGGGTCATGCTGGCCAGGCCTGGGGAGACAAGGAGAGCGTGGTGTGGCATGGACCTTTAGGGCCTCTGAGCCCATGCACCCCGCTCGCAGACGTCTTTACTCCCCAGACAGTAATGCACCTGTGGCAGCCAGGCACAAGGACAACACTGTGCTCCATTTAAACACGCCTCATTTCTAAGAGTAGGGGAGTGCTCCAGGCAGGGACCCTTGACTGTGGCTGGGGGACCCTGGGTGGGGGCCGCTGAGCCTCCTGGATTATACCAAGAAACTGGAGGGCATGAAGGACTCCCAGAAGGAAAAAACGAAGTCCTCTTCTATTTAGGCTCTCACATTTTTCATAGGTTAAAAGCAAACTAATATGAGGTCATAATCAAAGATTCACCAAATACTCAAGAAAATGACAGTTGGGGAAGGGAAAAAAAAAAAGACAAGTTTGGTCCCCTAAGAATTTCAAAAATTGGTGCTATCTATTGTGTGTGAAATGATTAAAGAAATAAAAGCTAGCATCATAGCCTAAGCAACATGTTGTTATGTGCCATTGAGTCGGACCCGACTCATAGTGACACCTCCTTGGGTTTCCGAGGCGGTATCACTACGGAAGTAGATTGCCCAACCTTCCTTCCGAGGAGTGGCTGGTGGGTTTGAACTGCCAGCCGTCTGGTTAGCAGTCTAATGCCTTAGGTATATGAGACTACCTGAAATAATTGGGCAGATCTGAAAAAGAACCAAATAATGATTATGGAAATAATAAGCATATTAGAACAAGTCAAAGGAGGAATTAATGAACTGGAAGAAAGATCTGAAGAAATTACTCAGATTCTAGCTCAGAAAGAAGCTGGAAAATAGGAAGAGCGGACTAAATGATAAAGAAGCCAGAATAGAAAGTCCAGCATAAGTCAGACTGGAGTCCCAGAGAGAGGGGAAAGAGAATGAAGGGGAAGAGTTATTGGAAGATAACGGTTGAGAGGTTTACAGAATGGATTATACACACAAAGTATATCAAACTGAATAAATAAAAAGAAACCCACACTGTGGTGGAGCTGTAGAACACCAAAAATAAGACATCGCAAAACAGCCAGGGAGTTAACACAGATCACCTATAAAGGAACAACAATTCAGATGACAGCCAATGCCAATAGCAAAACAGAAAAGGAATAAATAGAAAAAAAGATGGTAGAAACAAGGCCAACATGTCAGTAATCGCATTAAATGTAAGTAGACTAAACTCTAAAGTTAAGTGACAAAGATGGTCAGGCACAAGGGAAAACAGCCAGCTGTGTACTGTTTAAAAGAGACAAACCTCAATGTAAAGTCCCTGAAAAGTTGATAGAAAAGGGATGTTAAAAAACTATAGCAAACGTGAATCAAAAGAAAGCTGGAAAGGCTCTATTAATAACAGACAACATAGACATCATTAGGGACAAAAGTCAGTACATACTGATAAAAAGGATGATTCACCAGGAAGATATGGCAAATCTAAAGTTTTAAACACCTTAAAAATACACTCAAAATATATAAAGAAAACACTGATAGAACTATCTGTAGAAATTGAGATTCCCACCATCCCAGAGGGAGATGACCGCCTCAGTGACTGAAATGTCAGAGGCAGAAAGGATGGAGATTTGAATGTATTAGGTACATAGAGCCCTGCACCAATTAGTGAATATACATTCCTCAAGAACACTGGACTGTTCACAAAAACTGATCACATACTATGCCAAAAGTCAAATCTTAGCAAACCTCAAAGAAACCCATTACAATAGATCATCTTCCATAACCACAGTTTTGTTGTTGTTGTTGTTATATGCCTTCGAGTTGGCCCCGACTCATAGTGACCCCTCCTTGGGTTTCCAAGGCAGTATCACTACAGAAGTAGGATTGCCCAACCTTCCTTCCGAGGAGTGG